GGGAAGGCCATCCCTCGGCGAGCAGTCGACACAAAACGGCAGCGCTCCTGCAACCCGATGGAGAAACGGCTGCTATTTTCAGGGTCTTTCTTCCCCGCACGATATCGGTCCAGCCTGATATCGACAAACAATGTCAAGATATCCCAGGGCTGGACCCTGTTCGCCCTCCCTGGCCCGGTTCCGGTCCCCCTGCCCCCCCCCCCCCCGAGATCTCCGGCTCCGGCTCCGGCTCCGGCTCCGGCTCCGGCTCCGGCTCCGGCTCGGCTCGGCTCGGCTCGGCCCGGCCCGGCCCAGCCCAGCCCAGCCAAAGCTCAGCCAGCTCAGCCAGCCAGCCCAATCAGTCCAGTCCAGTCCAGTCCAGTCCAGTCCCAGCCCAGCCAGCCCAGCCCAGCCCAGCCCAGCCAGCCAGCCCAGCCCAGCCGCCCAGCCCAGCCCAGCCCAGCCTCTGCCCAGCCCTGCCCAGCCCAGCCCTGCCCAGCCCAGCTCAGCCCTGCCCAGCCCAGCTCAGCCCTGCCCAGCCCAGCTCAGCCCTGCCCAGCCCAGCCCAGCCTAACCCAAGCACAGGCCCGGGCGCGAGCCCTGGCCCAGGCCCAGCCCTAGCCCAAGCCCCAGCCCCAGCCCCCGCTCCCGCTCCCGCTCCCGCCCCCGTCCCGCCCTCGCCCTCGCCCTCGTACTCGCCCTCCCCAGCCCAGCCCAGCCCTGCAGGTCAGGGTGGGGTAAGGCTGAAAAGCACCTTTGCGGGCCGCTCACGTCCGGGGAGGGGGGGGGGGGGGGGGAGTATGGCTGACGCATGGCCAGGCCTCGCTAACCAAACCTCCCAGTCCTGTTTTCCAGCTAAACAGGAAATATTCCACATTTGAAGATATTGAGAAGAGCATGAAATTTGATGGGAAAAGCTCACTTGTAACTATTGGTAGGCTTTCAATGTTCCAAAACGACCCTAAGTACCAAAATTTCAAAGCTGGCAAAATGCGCCCCATTACGTCATTGTTTGATGTCGTCGTGGAAACGTTTTGTGACGACAGCAATATCAGGCAGCTAGCTGGCAGCCAGACCTAAAGAATGCCCCGAAACGCATGAAAGCTAACGCCAACCGGCTTTTCTCGCCGCGGGCGCTGTGTCGGGCGGCGGACTAGTGAATGGCTCGTTTCTTCGTTATTGTTTTTTTTGTCTTGGTGCTGGCCGCAAGAAAAACTTTGGTGGGGTGTTTAAAATACTCAACGTGGCAATCGCCAGCTCCAGTAGCAGGTTATTAAAAGCATAGTACGATATGCTTTGAAAACTGTTGAAAAGTTTCATGAATCTCTTACCGAAACCTCTCAAGGACTGTTCAGGATGTCAACACTGCACTGCCGACCTATCCTTTCCGGTGCTGTAGTTCTGATGTTGATATCATGTGATGTGCACAGTAGTTTCTGTATTATTTGTCACTGGAAATGCAGTTGCATGCAAAAATAAATAAATCGGCAACATGGCTATGAATTAATTGCCAAGGCATTGTTTTTGCTATGGTGAAGATGGCAACTTTCAGCTACCAAGAATGTTTTTCTAGGTGATTATTTTCTTGCTTTTTTTACTTTTAGTGCAATTGCTAGTTAACCCTGATATAACATTGTGGTGCAATGACATTCTCGCTGGTGATGGTCCTTTGGCGTTGTTAAATCAACTGTTACCAGTTATTCATAACTCATAAGCTGTTATCTCATAGGCTTGGCATTGATCAGTCTACCAATGTGGTACATTTTGTAATGACACGGGTCAACAGTGTCATCGTGACAATATTTCAGTGCTGTACTGTGGCATAGCATACTGAACAATGATGCCGTTTTTGTACTGCAATCCCTGCTGCTGTCATAAGAAATTCCATTATGAAAATGGGTCAAGCACGCATTCTTATATTAACTCTGTATCTGACATATGACTAACCAAAAACACATGATGCAAAATACAAATATCTTTCAGCGAAGCACACAACCAATAAATGACATCACTTGCTCAGCCAGTTTTTGGGAATTCACAAAACTTAGGTGACAAAGATCCAAACACATCTTCTGCTTCCACAGCCATGCAACATCCTCGGCCATCAGTTACTTCACTGAAAAATATTGTTCACGCAAGTAATGACACATGCACGACAGGAACATATTACATATAGTGGAATGACGCTGAAAACTTGCCTAACTTGCACAACGCCGGAGACATGACAAGTGCATGTAGCTATGGTTAGATGGGCGAAATGCAAGGAAGTGATAAAGTTGCCAGCACACACAAAACCAGGGAGCTAGAATCGTTTTTGAACTAGGGTGGCAGTGAAAAACTCCATCGCAAAAAGGACCGTGCGGTAGTGAAAAAATCAATTCACAAAAGGCGGAACTTATGAGCTCGTGACGGATGCTTCAGCAAACAAAGACATCTATTTCTAGTTGGCATGGACGTAATATAAGAAACCTGACAAAACTACTTCGTTTTATAACATCTTAGACCATTAAAGAGAAACAGATTGCACTAACACGCGCTCGGGGGGGGGGGCAAATTGACCCCCCCCCCGAGGGCTTTTCCCGGATGGTGTTTGAACGGCGCGGCGTAGCCGCGCCACATTTTGCATAGCTGTTGAAAATTGCATAGCAAATCGTTTGAGATACAAATTTTAGATGTACCTTGTAAGGTCGCTGACCTATGACAGGTCAAAGCCCATGGTTTCAGCGAAGGCAATTTCTAGGGAATCGTTCAATCTGATACAACAACGGAGTGTTTGACGAAGACATGCATATCTGAGATGCTTTCTTAGGCACCACAAATATTGAATGAGCAAATTACGTTGACCTAAGGTCAGGTATGACGGCCAGACCAATTTCAAAACCAACCTGATTTATTACTCTAGGGGTTGATGTATGGGATGGTTTCTGGCGCTCATTTCGAATTTATTGACAGCAGGAACTGCATTATACATTTTCAGTTGACTTCTTAGAAATCAGAACAGGCCATTGATCTAAGACGACCGGGGTCAAACGTTTTGTTTTAGGAACATACTGCCTAGCGCAATCTTTGTCGCTTATTCAAATGAAAACGCAGAACAGTCTTGTATCATTTCGGTCACCATGACCTTCAGGGGGTCAAACAAGGTCAATGACCTTAAATGGGCTTGTGACCTTTTGCTTAGAGACAGGTGCCTAGGTTCTGGGGGCGCTTCGGAGACCGAGCTGGAGTTTGACTTTGTTTGACCTTATTTGACTTGAAGGTCATGACCTAGGAAGCTGAAACCTTAACCTAAGTGAGTTTGCTTATAGGTCAAGACACCCTGTAAAGTTGGTGTCTCTAGCCTACTTAGTTCACGAGATCTCTGAGGGGGGTTCAACTCGAACCCCCCGCCCACACCCGAGCGAAGGGTGTCTAAACGGCCAACCGGGCGCGTGTTAAAACAGTAATTTCGTGACAGTATTATGAGCATAACAAATAATTAACACCAAAAGTCAGCTTGCAAGCACAGATCGAGCGTCGTTGGTGTGCAAGTTTTCTCGGAATACAAATGCCGCGTTAAAGCGTCGTCCGAGACGAATGCTTTGAATTTCGCTCGTCCAGCTTTTGACAACAAACGGGTTTTGCGTTGGCAATAAGACAACACCGTGATTTTCTCTCAAAGTGCTACGTTTTTGAAGAAAGAGCATAGGCGCATCTGTACGCGAAAACTCTGAATAACATGTTGCAACCTTAAACGATCGAGGTCTTCCCTTTCTCGTTTGGAGTTCTAGCAAACATCCGACTAAAGAACAAACCGAAAGAAAACATGTAGCCACTGGGATATTAAGTTCCATGCCGGTTCCCTACCAGTTCCGAGCCCTTACTGACAATGACGCCTCAATCAGACCTGGTGCACGTGTGGGAGCAATAACAGCGGAGAGGCCCACACCCGGTCTTTCCCAGCCGCGGGCAGAAGTTGGGAAATCCCGGCTCTGCACGAACCGGCTGCATATATTCCACAGAATGCTGGCGCATAAGCTGCCAATCCGACCTGGCATGGGCGTGAATTTTTCGGTTCTGCAGGCCTGTCTTAAGCCGTTTGCTGGCGAACAGAGGCGCTCGTCCAGAACCAGTCAAGGCCAGGGAATCCATGCTCTTGAGCGAAGCCGATGCATCGCCAGATGTCAGCTGCGTCTGCTGCTTCCATTCGGCATGTTCTACCGGTTGTAGTAGCCTCCCTTCAAACACGTCACAGTCTATTCAGGGAGCGGCGGGCATATTTAAGAGAGCCCGTGGCTCGCCGCTGCACTCATTTCAAGATGAGAATCGTGCTGGCCGTGTTGGTGGTGGCGGCCGGCGCCGCTGCGCAGTATGGAGGTGAGTGCCATCTGTTGGAACGCCGGGGAACTAGGCCGGTTTGTTTTGGTGTGCGCCAGTGTGGCCTTGGTTTCCTGGACACGGGATAAACCCTATTAAGGCCGAATCCATTTGTTGACATTTGGTGATGCAACATACATGTTCCGTTTGAGTTCGAGTCGGATAAGCTGATGAGCTATGCTTGTGTCAAGGGATGATGAACACCACTCAAGCTTGCAAACGTCGCATACGACCCGCGAGTGATCATTGTAAACAAGATGTTCCGAATTCCAAGTGATCGCAATTGACGCAACTTGCAGTCACATGCCTCGGATTTGAGCTGCATGCAACTATAGATATCAGAATGCAGCAAAGTGCAGTCCGAAGTAATATGTTGGCAGAGTGTCAGTTATCGATCCATCGATCCGTCCAAAAGTCATCGATCCAAGTCAAAAAGCGATAGTCACATCGCATCGCGATAAGCTAAGTTTATATCTACCTATTTCCAACCTACGCACTATGAGAAGTATATCACCTCGAATCGAAGACGCATTGTCGGTACTGACCCATGTGCCATCGCGGACGTCTTTTGTTTCAGGGGGCGGAGGTGGCGGCGGCGGCGGCGGCGGCGGCGGAGGGTGGCGGCGGTGGCGGCGGTGGCGGTGGCGGTGGCGGTGGCGGTGGCAATGGCGGTGGCGGGTACGGCGGATACGGCGGATACGGGGACGGATACTGGGGCGGATACGGGGGACACGGCGGAGGAGGCTACTACCCAGGAGGCGCGGGCCAACCGGGCGGCGGTGCGTATGGGGGGTGCCGGTGGCCCTGGTGGCGGCGTGTATGGAGGTAGCGGCGGCCCTGGCGGCGGTGCGTACGCGGGTGCGCACGGGGGTGCCGGCCACCCGGGTGGCATTGTGTATGGAGGCACCGGCGGTCCAGGGCGGCGGCGGAGCGGCGGCGGCGGCCAGCAGCGGAGGCGGCACCGGCCACGGTGTGAGCTGTTTGGACGGACAGCCGGGCCAGGTCCGGTTATGGACCTTATGGTGAGCTCCCGGCCCGACTATGGGACCAAAGTTAAGTTCCCGACCCGACTATGAACCTTATGCTGAGCTTCCTGTCTGCCTATTGACCCTATGGTGAGCTCCCAGTCCAGTTATGGACTTTACGGTGAGCTCCCGTTACGACTATGGACCTTATGATGAACTGGTCAGCTTCCGCTAGGACTATGAACTGTGAACTATCGGGAGCCTACGCCAAGGGTGGTGGCGTAACGCATGCAATCGAGTTCCTCGCCATTTTATCGGCTCCTGCATGCGTCTGTCACACCATTGTTACAACTTTTATAGTTTTGGCCAGCGTTGTTTGCCATGAGGCATTGTAGCTTGCACATCTGAGTTGCTAAATGTTATCAAATTAACGAGAGCAAAGGATTTGGAATACCATGAACTATTCTAAAATGTATTACATAATTGTTTCAATTTTCGTGTTCAAACTGCCACATTCTGAGCATGTGTTTGTAGTGAACAGCCTTTTGTGTAAAAAAAGAACAAGAACATTCTCTGAAACTCGGAAATTCTTGGATGTTTCTATACCAATTTAAATGTTTAGATATTTTACGCAACAGCAACTGCCACAACAGGTATCATGTGATTATTTTAGTATCCGTTTTACGCGGATTATGGAGTGACATGTTTAAAAGCATTGTTTCCGATATGTCTATGCATGTCGGTCATGTCTATACATGTCTACGCATTTCCAGCTTGTCAACGTGTTCTATGGCATATCTAGTGATCCCCAATATGGATTTGGATAAACATTCAGAACACCGATATACGGCTAATAGCATCATTTAGGAAGCCATTCTTCTCCGATGTCTTAAACTCGGCAATACCTGGCCGCATTTCGGTGTTCACTCAGTGCTGCCCCGACCGTCAGGTGGTGCCGGAGGCAGTGGCGGCGGAAGGAACTGCATACATGTGCATCGGGCCCCGGTGTTCTGAACACGGTGAGAGCTGGGTACCGAGATACCGAAATCCGGCACTGTTCAAATGACTCATGAGGGTGTACACACATTACTTGCTTCAGGCCACAGGATTGGTGTAAAAGCCTTTATCATCATCCGGGGGATGTTTCTCAACTCTGTCAAAGCCTGCCTCGCCTTGTCAAACAGCAACCCATTACCAGGGGCAGTGTTAGAAATGAGCATCCATCGCAACAACGCCGTGATCTCTCGTGTTGTGGTGTCCTGACAATTGGTTTGTTCGCGTCTCCTCGGCAGGCGTATGCAGCTGGCGGAGGTGCGCCAGGGGCTCCGGCGGGGTATGCAGGAGCTCCGGGAGCGTCTGGGAAATAGTGAGCCCTGCTGGCAGGCTGAGGACGCCCCGGTGCCACACATGGTGTTGACAGTGTTGCTGTTGCCGTTCCAACCATGCACTGTTTAAAAAAAAGCACTGGCCGTCCGCTTTGGTGTATGGGCGCATCGGTGCTGAAACAAGATAGCTTTAGGGACGATGGACTGTGCCATCCCTCGGCTCCTTCTACGTCACTGAACCCTGACAGTGCACTCTTGTCTGCTGTCGTTGGATTGGTGGACTGACAATGGCTGACTGCTAATATGGTGATTCATTTCTGCATATGCATCGTGCACGCCCGTCTCAGTTCGGTGTAAATGCCACCTGATACGTGTATTGTTGTAGACCTGATTATACCTATGGCAACCTTGCAAGCCACAGAAACACTTGACGCGCGCATGAAATGGCCATTGCAGGCTGGTAAGAACTGGTCTCACAGTGCATCGTGTACATCAGATACAAAATGCAACTCGTTTGACTTTAGTTCATTTCACACATAAGCGTACAATGTGAATGGCGTAAAGGCGATGCATTTCGCGCCGAATATGTCCAAATGCTGGGATTTACCGATGGCCGAGAAATGGAGACAATGACCAACTCCTGCTGCCATAGCACATCCTTTGGTATGAAATAATTCATTCTTATCATATTCCTACCATCTTAAGACGTCGTATTTTGCCGCTATGTTAACCAATCAGCCATCAGTACGCAAAAGCTGAACCTTACAAAAGCCGAAGCAAAAGGCCAGCCTTGGTGCCTCGAATGTCACAACATAGGAAACAGGTCATGGCCGTGGTGTGCCGGTAACGTGTCGTGAGTCTTCGAACCATGCCGTGTAACGTTTGTCATCAGTATTGTTATGTTTACAAGGTAAGATGATATAATTCTGCTGTTTGGTGTCACGAGTATTGTTTTCTGCGTTAAAGAAGACAATTCATGCACAATATGTCCGTGGAAAGCCAGATGAAATCCGTGGCAAGACCAGGTGAACCAATGCAGCAAGCATAGACCAAAACTAGACCGTCACTGAGCTAACCTTTCATGTTTGCAATACCAAAAAACCAGGATCAAGCATCACGGGATATGTTTGATATGGTCATGGGTTCTAAATGCATGGATATGCCAGCTGATAATTAACATCCAGGACATATACACATCATTATTTCCGGACCAGTGAGCAAGAAAGGCACGTCCTCGGCCAGTGCCGACTCCCAGGCAGGCAGTAAGTGAACCATTCGCATTCTTTACAGTGTGCTGGCGCCTAGGGCAATGTAAGAAATGTTCAGTTTTGATTAATAAGCTGTTACGTGAAATAACAGATATGAGCCGGCATCGATCCTTCGCCAAATTATACGACCTGCTCCCTTCAAGACAATGTTTGCGATGTGAAGGTTTTATTGCAAAATCAGATCTGATGAAGCAAGCTCACTTGGAAACATTGGTATACTTTTGAGTCCGCAGACTACATTAGACTCCACAATTTCTCTGCCTATCAAATATGCTTCCCCGATACGTCATTGATTGATTACGGTCAGCGTACGTTGCCGCTGATTGGGAGCCAACTGCCGGTTGTTTTATCTGGAAATTGCGCCCCAAACCGCTAGTTTATGAATAACTTGTCAATTTATTTTTATTGGTCTTTATTGACGCATGACTCGTGGAATGGCATTATAAAATGACGTCATAAATGCCAAGGTAACCTTGAAATACTGTACCCATTGTCACGGGCATGTAGCCCAGAAACTGAGCGGATTTAGGCCTTCATAAGAGTGGTGGTGTGAATTGCAATGAAGGTCTTCCAGATGGCTTTTCAGTTCAAAACCCAATATTGATATACAACCACTCCTTTTGAGTGAAGCCAGACCTGATTCAAGCGATGAATATCGAAAAAAGCTGCGTTCCATTGACAGGAATTGTACCACTTTATACTTACAGGGTGATGGTCGATTTGACCACCGATATTACCAGGTTGTTGAATTAAAGGCAATGTTCCACATCTGAAGATATTGCAGCAAACATGAGATGCAATGAAACAGGGTCACTTATGATTATGTGTATAATTTTGGGTGGAAAAGGTTGCTTTGCACATTACACACCAGAACTTCTCTAATAAGTAAATATGCTCCTCGATATGTGATTGTTTGATTGCATCGTCGTTGCCTTACACAGCATTGATCGCCCTCGATATATGTTCGGAGCTAAACGCCTGGTAAAAATGAGGGTGGGTAATTCGGGGAGAGTATTCAAAGTCATCTTGGCATTGATGAATGAGTCACACAAACGTCATCCAAATCCCGCCATTCCATAGGCCACGTGGCGATCAACGCCAAAGAGTATAACTCTCGGGTTTCTACTTCAGATTAGACCACCAGTTCTAAGTGGGCGTTATATTATATCTGATTGCCGTCAAGGACAGAGCTGTGAACTGCTCCGAATGATCTTCGAGGTGGCCATATAAGTAAAACAAAATGTCATAGAAATGTGGGACAACCCCCTTTAAAGATCGTAAACCCTCGATATATGTTCGGAGTGGCAAAAAGGGTGTTATTTCTTCTCCAACTAAACCATACGGTCAGCCCCAAGGCCCCATAATTTGCGATTGATTAGCGTTCCACCCGAATACCTTTTAATTGGGGGCGAGGGGGGGGAGGGGAGGAGCAAATATTGCCCCGGTTACCTCCGCAAGGAATGCTTTCATATGTATAAACAATAGACAAATCGAAATCATGAAGATCGCTTCCAACGCAGCAAAGCGGATATGGTGGTCAAATGTAAGGCAATCGAGTCAGCACAAGCACGACCTTTGGTCAAGTCAAGACACTGTCATACTAACGTGCCGATGTCATGACGGGACCGAGCCAAGTCATGCATGATGGTCAACATAGCAATTTTGTTTACTCATGCGACGCATTCTTCAAAACCCGACTTATGCAATGTTGCAGCATCGGGAACGCTAATCGTAAGTGTATAGGTTGGTCCAGCGTAAAGATGTAGGTGTCAGACTAAAAAAGTAATGTTGGGTATATTTAGTAAGCATGGAAAGTAAGCATATCAACATCAAAGTATGTTTCCAGATTGCTTTTCTCAAAGATAACAATTCAGTTGCTTTTTAACTTTTTATTCGGTTAGTCAAGGGCCAGGTCACGATATGCCGATTGTCCAGGCCGCATCTGACTTGAAAATGTCTTTCATAACAGATCAAGCATGCTGTACACGTCACGAACTATTCTCTCGGCTTGTGTTTTCGTTCTAACCGTGGGTTTTTGGGCGTTGGTAAAATTCAGGTTTTGCGCTACATTTTAACATTTGGCGATATGTCATTGTTGTGTGCTGTTAATTGTTTTCTACGTTGTTCAGCTTAGTATGTCGATGATAAATTTGTTTTGAAACTAGCCAACTAAAGGGAGCGTTCTATATTTGAATGGGGTTTTCAACTGAAATATCGATCTGGAAGATCGCTATGTAGAGTTCACAGTCCTGTCCTTCTCAAGAGTTAAACCTTTTTAGTTTCTGACCTTCCCGCCCGCAAAGATGTGCAGACTTTTTTGGGGAGACTATCTCAAGATTGCCCAGG